CCGCCGCACGCCAGATGGGATCATGCCGTCCGGCATGTGCTTGCTTGTAAGTTTCCGGAGTCTCCAAGTCGGCAACCAAACCATCCGGCAACGCTGGGTCATCGATATCCGCTGTAGGGCCACTAAGAGAACGGGTCATCTGCTCATCCGCCGCCAGCAGCGCGAAAGCCCCCGGCATGCCGGCTCTGCGAGACCCCGACCTCGTGACGGCAGGCGTCACCTCGTGCTGCTGCCGGTGCATCACCCTCCGCTCGGGTGGCGCGTGGTACATGTCAGCCCAATCTAGCTCCATCGCCGCCTTCACGGGAATTTCACCTGCCGTTGCCCCCACCACCGGTGCCGCCGCTCCTGCCGCGAGGGCCTGCGCCCCGGCCGCCTCCCCCACCGTCGCCGGGGGGAAGAAACTGCTGCCGGGGGCCGCCGCTCCAGCTGCAGGTGCTGCCGCCGATGCCACCGCTCCTGCCGCGAGGGCCTGCGCCCCGGCCGCCTCCCCCACCGTCGCCGGGGGGAAGACACTGCTGCCGGGGGCCGCCGCTCCAGCTGCAAGTGCTGTCTTTGATGCCGCCGCTCCTGCCGCGAGGGCCTGCGCCCCGGCCGCCTCCCCCACCGTCGCCGGGGGGAAGACACTGCTGCCGGGGGCCGCCGCTCCAGCTGTAGGTGCTGCCGCCGATGCCGCCGCTCCTGCCGCGGGCCTGCGCCCCGGCCGCCTCCCCCACCGTCGCCGGGGGGAAGACATTGCTGCCGGGGGCCGCCGCTCCAGCTGCAGATGCTGCCGCCGATGCCGCCGCTCCTGCCGCGAGGGCCTGCGCCCCGGCCGCCTCCCCCACCGTCGCCGGGGGGAAGACACTGCTGCCGGGGGCCGCCGCTCCAGCTGCGTGTTTGGGGTGTCGGCGCGTGTACTATGTTATCACGCTCGCGGGCTCTTGTCGAGAGCGTGTTGCACAAAGGAGTGACTCAAGTTCCTTGCTTATTAGAGAGTTTAACGAGTGACAGACGTGAGCAAGAAGAGGCAAAGCCTGCTGCACCAAGTCTGTCTATCATACCCATATCTATCTCATCTGCGTAACCCCGTCGGAGATCTCGGAGAATTGTATCCTGCCGTGTACACACACAAACAGCTGGCCTACGCTCACTCTGCCTCTCCAGAATGGGCCGGGTATTGTAGTGAGCGTCGATTTTATTGGGCCATCGTCGGTCACGTCCCGTGGGAATGCATGTATACTTTTGTTTACAGACCGTTTCAGTCGACGGGCGGATATGTATGCCACTACCAAGGCGGAATTTACCGCTAAGGGAACGGCTAACATTTTCGTCAGCCGCTACATGGTGTTGTGGGGTTATCCGGTGACTCTTCTTTCGGATAACGGTACGCAATTTTGTTCCAAGTTGTCCATGGCTATTTACGAGCTGATGAAGATCAAGAAAGTCACCACCAGCTCCTACCACCCCCAAACTAACGGTGGGGCCGAACGTGTTAACCACACTTTGGCTCAAACGCTTGCCGTTGTGGTCAATGAGCGTCAGGACGATTGGGAAATCCATCTTCCCCATGTCGAGTTTGCATACAACAACTCCGTAAACGCCGCCACAGGTTTGGCGCCAAATGAAGTGCATATTGGACGATTGCCCCGTCTCCCGCTTTCTGTTTTGGACCACCCTAGCGTGGGTGGCCATCAAAGTTTGGATCGAGACCAGCTCGCTTTCTGCAATCTTGCGGTGGAACGCCAGAGACGAGCTTACGCGTTGGTGCGGGAACAACATGCGATTACGGTGTCGCGTGTCGAACGTCGGAACTCTGCGCTGTTGGACGGTCTGCGTCAGATCCCGAAGTACGAAGTTGGTGGTTGGGCTTGGGTTTACAACTCCGCCGCTACTATTCGGCAGGGTGTGCGGAAACACACCGATGATTTGGTGCTCAAAGCGAAGCTTTCGCTCAACTACACCGGACCGTATAAGATCCTTGCTGTTGGCCCGGCCAAGCGGAGGATTCACCGGATGGGAAACCTGTGGAGCGCAAACTTCTCTACTTGGACCTGCCGTCAGACATGCTGGGACCAGAATCCCGCAACCGTGTCTCAGTCTTGCGGTGCAAACCGTGTACCAACCCATACGACATGGATGGTCTGCCTAAGTATATGCCGGCCAATCTGTCGAAATATGTTTTACACTCGTATCGTAACAAATCTCCCCCGTATAATTCGACTACTGATGATAGTGTAGCAGAGTCTAGTCGTCTGGATGTTGAGAATATTTCGGGACACCAAATTGTACGTGGACACGGTGGTGTGGTAGCCGTTTTGTACCTGACTCATTGGATGGGTTTGTTTTCACCGTCGTGGGAAAGGGAGTCCGATTTGCAGGAATACAGAAAACACATTTTGCTTGTCTGGTCTGGTAACGCTAGTCAGCGCATACAAGGAAACCGAGCTTACCGTAATGCTCGGATAGCTTCGGCCGACCGAGAACTTGCTCGGAATCAGGCCGAACGTTTCATTGCTCCCGGGTACAAGTTGATTTCGCGTGACACTTGGTTGGCTCGCTTCTCTGTTTCTGTTTTGCCTGTCGGAGCCCACATTTGGTACAAAGCTTTGGATGGACTTTGGTGGCTTGGGCAGATTAGTAGTTTCGTAACAGGCCAGTACATTTTTCGATTTTCGGACACCCCCGGCCCTCGACAGCTTTCTCTCCCGGAGTATAGTTAACTCCACGGTTTTGGATGCTCCTTGCGGTTCTTGGTGCTTGCAAAAACACCGTACTCGTGGTTTGACCAACCCTTCCACGGATGATGGCATTACCTTCCACGGATGATGGCGTTACGTCGCGAGCACCAGGCGTTGCGGCACAGCTGGCTGTTGCCCCATCTGGATCTGTGCTTTGATATCATGCCGCCTACGGGCCGCTACATGTTTTTATATTTTGTTCTACATCGTACGCAGTGGTACGCTAGCGTGTGTTTGGGTGGTATGAGCTTCTTCTATTGTTGAAATAGTCACCCCGACTTTTGCGTGCCCAACGCGACCGAACCCCGTTTTGATTCAGACTGGTTCCGTCGTTGGCGATGTGATTCTCAGCAGTCATCACTGTGTGGTGTGGGGATGGTTTGGAGTATTTGTCGGGGATGAACTATTTTCTCTGACCCTAGTTGCTTTTATTTATCTTATTTTGTCTGATTTGGAAAGTCGCATCTTCGATCTTTATTTGAGGTTGAGTATTGGATTGAAGATAAAGTATCTGCATCTACGACTTCCCAGGGTGGGCTAATGTAATGGAGCAACTAAATAGCGTGTGAGCATTGTACGAGCGTTTCATGAACGTTGTATGAGCGCTTATTGGATTTTTGAATTTTCTTTGGACATGGATATTTGGCGTCGTTGAGGGGTATTGAGGTAGCTTGGAGGAAGATCAAAATCCCGGCCCCGCTCCCTCACTCTCCGAGTGGGCGCATAGCGGACCTGGTCTAAGAAGGCTAAAACAAGAGATCAAACAACAACTGTGAGTACCCGAAGCCAGGAGCAACGAACTTGCTCCCTTCCCTCTTGTATTTCTCTGTTCCTCCATAACAAGGTACTGTAACAGGTACGTACATTCCGACTGAACACCGGCGGTAAACGAACGTCGTCGGAAACCCCGGGGATGCAGTATGTTTTTCAACCCCTGCTATTTGGGTTACAGAGTTGCCGGTAGGTTGCAGGGGGGGGCGGTTCTGGGTAGTGGACGCCCTTGGAAAAGATTAGCTTTTGGGCTTTTTATTTTCAATGTGTCCAGCGATTTCGATGTTAGCTTCCACACGTCGCTAAGGGGGGGGCGGGCGCTACCGTCATAGAACAACAGAATATCATTCTTGTATGTGGTGACTTAATTACACAAGAATTTTCTTGGTAAACAATCAGAGACGCAATTCGCCCCCTACATGTTTCAACCATTTTTTTCGGCTGCCCTCGCCGACCTCAGCGAGAATTCTGTCGATCACAACGTTCCTGTCGGGAGCTCGAGACTCGAACGAGAGCCGGGCGTTGCAGCACGGTGAATACCCGTTGTTGTCATTCATGGTGTTTGTTGTTCTTCTTTCGAATCCATCATCATCATCTTGTTTCTACAGGATGGGACGCCAGAGGAAAGAGCGAGATGGCAACGGCAGCGCAGATTTTTCTCCGCAGATCCCGCAGATACCATTCTGCGCCTTTCTATCATGTATCTGCCTTTCTGCCTGACAAAGGGCTCCTCGCTTCCTCCAAGTGTCAACCAATGGGTCTCTGCACTTCGATGCAGGGATCGCCCCCGGCGATGCTTGCCCCTACTGGATCCCTGTCCTCGTCACCATCTAAGAAAACCCGGCCCTGGGGACAGCCAGAAATAAACGACATACACACTGATTGACTGCGTATTGCTGCTCCCGTTGTTCCGAGGCACAGCGAGCTATAACGACAAAGAAAGACGTGCACTGATCCGAATTGTCCAACATTTTACTCTTCTGAATCCCCACAAGGTAGACTACACCTTTTTCTCATCGAGGCATGTTTTCTCTCCATGGCTCGGCGAATGGCAAATAGTAAGACGGCCTCCATTGCGGGCGGTGTCAGCTGCCTTTCGTATCATATTTTGAACCCGCCGGGGGATTGCCCGGCTCGACTTCATCTCTTCAACGTTCTCTTTCTGAATATCGTGCCGTTTATCAACCACGACCCCTATACACTACATTCCGCCTACATATCAAATTCAAATTCCTCCACCCAAGCTTGTACACCTCTCACGCAAATAGGAATTCAGGTCAGCAGGCGATCGAGATCTGACCGGGGAAGTGCCTGCTCGAGACCCCGCACCATAAAAATATGCCCCACCGGGAGCCTCTGTCCCCGAACGAACTTCCTTACTGCACCCCGTGCATGCGCAGGAATGACGGTCGTTCCGCCGAAAACCCATACGCTGGCGAGCGCCATATCATGCACCGCAATCGGGGCGGAGTCCAACCCACCCCCCCCGTCAGGTACTATTTCGCTCACACCACCAGCCGAAGGGGCTCGCTGGTCGCCCCGCGGAGACCCCTGGAGCTTTGCATCGCGCATGAGGGGATTGGCCCTGACTCGAGGCTCGTTCAGCTCCGATGTGGTGTACGAAAGGTGTACCAGCTTCGGTGGCGTGGATGGAGCAGGGCTATCCGTGGAGCGTGAGGAAGCACACGAAAGCGCCACCAGTACCCCGTCGGCCTCGCGTTCAGACAGCAGCACCATCTCTCCGTTCGCGAAAACGAGGGCGGCGTCCACCGGCCGCAAGTAGTCGTCGAGTGCCGCTGTGCGGCCCGTGACTCCAAAGAGAAAGTTTCCGGTGCAGAAAACGTTTTGCGCCGGCAGGTCTAACGTCGAGATCTGGGCCTCCATGGTCATGCATCGCCATGCTTTCTTCAGGGTCATCACCTGGTTTGTGGGACGGGCATTGATCACCACATTGCAGGTGCGAGAAGAGGAGGTGATTCAAGGCCTGGATGGTGCGGTGGTTCCTTGCGTGTTGGTTCGCGAGCCTTTTTCAAAGTGGGATTGCTCGTTGGAGGGGAGCTGAAACGTGAGGTGTCTGTGCCCGCACGTGTTGAAGACACTGCAATCGGAATCAGATGCCTTTGAGGGACGGTATGCTCCTGGCAGCATTTACCAAACAGTAGGTAAAGACTATGCAAATGGTACTCCTGACCAAAAGCTTGCTGCACCCCGGACTTCCTGTGCAAGCTCGGAAAAGAGCATCGTGCCAATGGCTGCAAATACGTCGGGGATACAATACGTTTTGGTGTACGGTTGGTGTTGTAGTCGGGGAAGGGTTGTTGAGCGATAATTCGCACTGGTGTGTCAAATGACAACAGCACAATATGACGCACTAGTTGCTGGCCGAAAGCGGAACACTCTGCTCAATCAAGCTCATTCCCGACCATAGCGTTCTTCGGGAAACCGCCTTTTTCGTCCCGCCTATTTCCTGCTTGTGATGCTCGCGGAAAGTGAGATGTTCTTCGCAACATCAATACGTCTGCGCTGCTCCACGGGGTCACTCGTCCTCGGCGTTTGCAATGGATTTCCAACAACCGGCCACAGCACCAAACCCACCAATCGAAAAAACAGGACACCAAAAAAAAAAACCGTTCATCCGGTTTCAAACATAAGTATGATAGAAAATACAGATCTTGGTTGTTTGCCTCACCTTGGCCGAAGACGGAAGCTGATCTGGTGATTCAACCGACAATGCGGAGGCGTAGGGCCAATCGGTCTCTTCGCGGGGCAACATCTTCGCCACGTGTCGCTCCACTTCCTCCTCCTCTTCCAACTCGAGCTCCATCTCCCGCTCACACTCTCCTCCTATCGCTGAGCTTCTGGACGTGTACACGGTTTTGCCGTACTGCGATGCCCTGGCAGCTATCTCCTGGCAAAGTTGGGGCTTGTGGACATCGCCTTTGTAGCGGGTACGGTGCTGGTCGACCGACATGGACACCGCGCTGTCGACCGTGGCGCGGGTGTACCCGGCGCCGTAGGCGGCGTCAAGGGTTGTAACTTCGTCCTGCTCCGCGCGGTCGGGTCGGGCAAAAGTCGCCGAAAACTCCAGCCCCTGGCCGGCCCACGTCAGAAGTCCAGACCGCGTAGCCTCGACGGTGTTGGCCATGATGTATCCCAGAACGTGTTGGGACGTGATAGTGCCACTGCTGGAAACGCCGGACACCTCTCGGATCTGGGTTGAAACGTCTGGCGTGCCGACAAAGACGATGGCCTGGTTGCTGCGCCCTAGCAGTCGAAGGCGGCCGGCAGCCTGCATCACCTTGTCCTTTCCGTTCTTGGGTCCGATAGTCAACAACGCCTTGGCGTCGGCGGACAGCTTCAGGTCGGCTCCTCGGCAGCGGGCCTCGTCGTAGATGCAAAATGACTCGGAAGCCTGGATGGGGGATCCGCTGAGGGCCACGCAGCGCCCGACACGGTCGAGCACCATCCACTTTCCACCAACTGCCGCTGTCCTCTGGCTGGCGTCGAAGAAGACCACACCGCGGAACTCTTTCGACAGGCTCCCCTCGGGCGACAGCAGAAACGCGGCCGCTTCTTTGCTGGAAACCTTCCCCAAGAGGGCGCCACAGTCGACAAGAACACTCGCCCCCTCTTCCACGCAGAATTTGAGGAGATTCTTCCACGCCTCAGGGGGCGCGTCGCCGATGCTCTCTTCGTCTCGAACTACCTCGAGCGTGACGTATCGCTCGGTCCGCATCAGGAGATCGAGCATCTTCCCGTTAGTGCTGGAGAGCGAGGGCAGGCTGCCGTCGCGGTTCTTGCGCACCTGTAGCGGCAGGAGGCGGTGGGAATCGTTGGTCCCAGAAAACCCTGAAGTCGCGCCGGCCCTATTCTCGGCGAGGAACCAAGAATTGGTGCCGATGTACTTCGGACACAGCTTCGTCTCGGCGGGCAGAACCACGAAGTTCAGCCAGCTGTTGACTACCTCGAAGTTGTGCGCGAAGTAACGGTAGAGGATGTCCATCTGCGGCTCGTTGGTGAGGTCAAGCTTGAGGACGTCGTCCATTTGCACCAAGTCTTCTTCGGCAGGCCGCACCTCGTCCAACCAGGTGCTGTAAAAATCAGCTTGGGCGCTCTCGGGAACATCCTCCAGCAAGGTCTTCAAGACCTGTTGAAGCTCGGCTCGTGACAGACCATCGTAGTAGTAGGATAGCACGGTATAAACGATGGCCACGTCTGACTGCCGGAACTCAGAGCGGTCTGCCGGCGTGTTGCTGGCCCTGAAGGGAACCGCCAGCCGCTTCTTCGCCTCTGCCGTGCGAGAAACCCCGTAGTTCACCCTCGGGCGGCTCTGCAGGCAGTGAAGAAGGGTCCCATGCGCGAGCAACCCCCGAAGGGCGAGGACCTGCGCCCACTGGGACTCGTCCGTGAGCGCTGATCTCTCGAGCACGTGATCAGCGCTCACCGCATCGTCCAGCACCAGAGTAGCCAGCTTCGCACGCATCGCTTCGTCGATGTCGCCTAGCCACCTCATCTCATACGGCGGGTCGCTCGTCACCGAGTCGAAAAGCGCCCGGTGCAGCTCACGCTTGATGTCGTCCAAGGCACGCCCCGGCAACAGGCGCAGTTGCCCAAACTGCTCCGGCCGGCAACTGACCTCTTCTACCGCAACGTTGCGGTTGGACAGCATCTCTGCTAGCTCTGGGTGCCTGGGCAATCTACAAGGGTTAGAAAGAGCGATGACAACATATATTGTTGAAAGGCGATGAGTATCAAGACCAATATTTGAACGAATCCTTTTGTGAACTCTATTTGAATTTTTTTTACAAACAAGCAGCGTTTCGACATGCCGGGATAAGATCATGCGAGTCTCATTCCATTAGGATAACAAGGACGAGCTGTATTTGAGCGTTGTCTCTGGCAGGAATGGGGACGAAAACCAACAGAGCTACAGACCACCGGCGGGAATGCCACGGGGGGGGGGGGGGCGAATCCTCGGGTCATTCCCCAACCCCTGCCAATGTCACGTACTGCGACGGATCTATTCGCCTTAAATGCGTGATGGGCGACTGGAGTACGTTTTCAAACAACATGATGTGAGTGTTCAGTGTAAACTTGTGTGTGTGACTCGCCTCGACTACTTTCCCGGAGTTAACGGTGACAGTACCGGGCGAGGAGTTCAGTAGTGAGACTTGTCCTGCTTCCGTCCGGGTGGCCTTAACGAAGAGGTGGAAAAATTCCTATATACTTTGTGATGACATGGCACGCACTGGTGTCTTTTAGGGCGTGGGGTAAGCTGACAGGAAAATATAGACTACCTTCGGTACCGGGCGCGACACATACCGGTGCCGGTGCTTCAGCACACGTAGCATTGCTTGCACAGCCTGGACACGGTCGGCCTGAGACGGAAGTGGCTCCAGCCCACCGACCGCGTACACGAGTTGCTTCCGGTGGTGGAAGAGCTCGTCGCTCTCGTCAAAAATGTCCCTGAAGGGCATTTCTTCCAAGCGCCCGATCTCTTCGCTGATCTCCGGGGCGACCTCGAGCAGCTCCAGGCCCTTCAGATGGAGCGACTGCCTATGTTCAGGTGTAACCAGCATCGCCCCTCCCTCACAGAGGCAGCGTTCGAGACATCCACGCATGGCTCGGGCCCCCGCAAGCGTCAGGTTCACGTCACGGTTGAAGGGTAGTAGGAACAGCGCACATCCGAGGAGGGACCCAGTTAAGGCATGGTGCAGAAAGTCGAACGCTTCGCTGATCAGGGCGCTCAGAAAATGTAAGCGCACCACGGCGGCATCCTGCCGGTGCGTTGTCCAGTGCAGGACTAGCAGCGGCAGGATAACCCGCGTCTTCCCTTCTCCCATGTTTAGCTGCACGATGTCACCGGGGTTGTCGATCATGTGAAGGGCTACCTCGGCTTGAGCAGGCCGGATTTGCAGCCCTGAATCGACTTCAAAAGCCAGCCATCGCGGATAAGCTTCCGGAACCCACGTTCTCTTCACCTGAAAGGAAACGATTGCCGCAAATGGGGGATCAGCTTGGATCGCCTCTGCTACGCCAACAGACAGCAGTTATTTCGTAATGCGTGAACGGCATTGACTATCGCCGAGAAAATGAAGTCTACTGTATTGTAGGTTGGTATTTCTGTTCTTTTGCATCAACCCTTCGCAATCGGCGTGATGTGCACTGAAAACATGTTCTCCATCTGTTCGAACGTCATTCTCTGGAATCAAGCTTTGAAGAAAATGTACGGTAAACTTCGGGTATCTCCCCCATTCGCTTTCTGTTGTTTGGTCGGGAAAAAAACTCTATACCGTGAAACATGCAACATGCAACATGCAACACCACCTGGATCTCCTGCCACACCAATGCCTCCGCTCCTGGCTTTCCTGTCCACCGCTTGAGCCTGCCCAACTTGTCTTCGAGCACGCAACACCGAAGCCACAGCACCACGGCCACCTCTACCCCCGTGGAAGCCTCCTCTGTCAAGAACGGGTTGAACGTTCGAGCGCGCCCGTCCGACCAAAGGATTGAAGGCAAGTCTTCGACGGAAGGGGTAGGCAGGAGGTTGGCCAGGCGCTCAATGTTGTACGACCTGGCATACCTATCGTCCGTTCCGAAGCTGATGAGAGCACCAAGCAAGTGCTGCTCAAGCCGTTCCCGCATCGACGAAGCCTGCCTTAGCTTGTCGCTAAAGTCGTCTCGGAGGCGCTGCAGCACCGGCAGAGGCACTGGTGAATGTTGCGGTGGAGAAAGCTGGTGTGCCTCCCAGCTGCCGCACAGCTCGGCGTGCATGTCCTTTGTTAAAACATCGTCGTCTAGGGGCACTTCGAGTGGGTAGGCGTGCCCCGTGTGTGAAACATCAGAAGCAGGAGTAGTGCTCGCCAACATGACGTCCTTCACCTCCCACACAGCAACCTCCGCAGCGTGGACAGACTCCGCGCGTACCGGGCAGCGCGGCAGGTTGACCGATCCGAACTCGAAAACGCGCCTCTGTCGCATGAAAGGGCGAGCGCCTGCGATCCGACCGCCGAAGATTCTCACCTCCTCGACGGCGGTAAGACGCCGTCGAAGGTTCCACCTAGAAGTCTCACACTCTCCCTCGTAAATAGTCGCTGCGTGTTCTAGGCTGCACAGAACCCCCGGTGACAATGGTCCGAGCGGCGCTGTGGGGTGCAGGAAACCGACACAGTTGCTACTCTCCAGCAAATCGCCACACAGAAGCGCCAAAGCCGGAGCCGTACCGGATAGATCCAGCACCGTCAGCAGCTGGGCTCGGTCACCCGGCTGCAATGGGTGGTTCACGGAGCACCGACGGACGAGCTCAATGGCCTTCTCGGAGCCGGTCTTGCCCGCCCGGGCGTCAGGCAGAAGCGTGCCGGTGGCAGCAAACATTGCCGCAAGCTGAAGCCGAGCCGATAAGCCACCCGCGTCCGGTTGGTTCCACCGCCGGTGCAGGCTGTAGGAAAACACCTTCAGCTCGGCGTCTTCGCTATCTTCGTTGCTGCACTCGATCCACACTCGCGGTGTTGTTCCCTCCCTCACCGCCACCCTGCCTCGAGGAACGATGATCTTTGTGTCCCCATCTTCGCGAACAAGGACCAGGTAGCGGCTCAGCTCCGGGAGAGTGTCTTCGAGCTGCTGGGCGCACGCCAGCTGGTAGCCGCGGTGGTTCGCGCAGTGGATACCGCTCGCGTCCTCACGTCCTCTAGGGTCCCTCGGCGGAGGGTCGACTTTGAACTCGAGCTCAAACCTAGGCAGGTCGATCGTCAGCCCACCATCGGGCTGCAGGTAGGTGTGGATCACCGCGTTCTGGCCGACAGCCCGAGGCTCGAACTTCGCGAAGGTCTTCATCACCATGTTGTCCGCGTCGGCGAGGACAAGCTTCCCACTGGAACCGAGGCACTCTCCCTTCCCTTCCGCTTCCACCAGGATCTCATTCCATTCGTGCGATCGAAGGTGAGGGGGCACACGATAGAACGAGACAGGACCGCCGTCAGGGCGACTGCACCTCCCGACGAAGAAGACGTGGCGCGCGCTGAACTCAATCGAGCGTAGGACGATGACGTTGTGGTCCCGGCACAACCAATGGCTGTGCATCCTCCGAAGCCTGACGGGTAGTTCCTTCGCCCAAGAGCCGTCGGGACGCAGCAATTCTAGGCGTTCTACAAGACGTTCGTCGACCTCCTCTACCACCAGCTGACCGCTCACACCTACACGCGAGAATTCGTAGAATCGGCCATCGGCCATTCGGGTGGTCCTGAATGTTCCGCCTGAAGCAAAGGAGACCTCGAACCTGGCTTTGCCAAAGACTCGCCGATAGAGGTTATCCTTCGTGATGTCCTCCGGCAAGCGACTTGGTGGCTCCCCGTCAAACAGGACTACGCCTGTCAAGAGATTGACGGTGTACAGATGCCCTTTGTGCTGCGCCTCAAAACACGCCATGTTGCCAGCTACCGGGTTCCACGCAAGCTGAGTCGGTGCGTCCTTCAGCACCAACCGGATGGCGGTCGTGAGGAACCCGGGGTTGATCCTAGCCTCCTGTACAATCTCGCCGCTTCGCTTCGCCAGCACATTCAGGCATCGAACCTGGAGAGCGGAGTTTTCCGCCTCTAGCTCTATCCATCCCTCTGCAAACAGGCGACGGTTGTGGGCCAGAATCTGTAGCTCGCACAGCTGGGCGGTGTCGGCAGCGGAGAGAGACGCACTACCACCGTAGCACAGTACGCCGTACATGAAGTACACGCACTGCTTGGCGATCAGGGAAGATACGACCGCGTCTCCGAGCTGGTTCGCCTCAGCTTCGTCGGCCTGGCGGTAGATGTCAATGGCCCACTTCCGGGGAATCGCCACCAGCTTCGACCGAACAAGATCCTGACAATGGCCGTTCCAGTGGCCGACGTACACCGCCATATCAACAAGAAGCTGCATCGCCCGGTGTTGTCGTGGTGTGTGCTCGATCTCCTCGATACGAACCTGACCAAAGAGCAAGCGGGTTGAACAAGTTACGTTCGGAAAACGAATCACGAGAACGAACTATCGGCGGTCTTACAGTATGACCATTCGGTCATCGCGACGCACTTTATTTGACGACACAACCCTGCACAGCTTCTTTGACGCGTTGATTGTCCTATCGATACTTTTCCTCGGAATCTTGGTGCAGCCATCGATATCCAGTTTGAAGCAGTCGAGGATACGCACATCAGAGTTCGCGTTGATGCGGGGATTTTTGAGGTGCACCGCTGGCAGCTGCTACATGTGGTATCGTGAGACATGCATCTACACGTAACGAGATCAAGCGATTGGGTGGCACAGAATATACATGTACGTAATCGGGTATGTGTAGAGTGCGTTAGTGCAACGCAACGGAAAAAGCTCCGGAACTATACGCATTGCACCTACAAGTGTCGAGTGCAAAATGTCTATCGCGAGAAGTCACCAAGAACAAGACAAGTCTATTCCAAAGCCCTCAACGTTTGTAGTAGTTGCGCCTCCCGTAATAATGCACCAGATACCTGAAGCTCGTCGAATAGCGCGGAAAACATGTCCTCCTGGTCATTTCGCCAGAGCAAGGCCGCCGGGGAGGAATCGGAGAGCTCGCCGATCTGGAAAAGCGCTTGAGACATCAATGAGCGAACCGCAGGATGATCCAGAGGCAAGCTGCGATCACGGAGCACCAGGGCTAGCTTACGAAGCTGCTGCAACGGATAGGCCCGCAACGCGCCGAACGCGAGATACTCCCGTTTGCTGAAACCTACCGCGTCGCCCTGGCTCGCGATTGAAATGTTGCCTCTTTCAGGGCTCGTCTTGCCGATGCCGTACTGCGGCATCGCCCATTGCAGCGACTGGTCCTGCCCTAACAACTTCTCCGTGAACCCGCGCACTACCCACTCCGGACGGACCTTCGGCGAAAGCGGGTCGAAGCAGAATTGACGAGAAAACGAACCCCCTTGCCACAACATGTAGCCCGGGGCTAGGGAATCTGGGTGCCAAACGCCATCCGAGGGCTCCGTGCATCTTTCCACCATCGTCTCTGGTTGCCCTAGTTCCTCGCAGTACCCGAGTTGGACGCCCCCGTCGTGACCCCATACCGCAGGTTGATGGCTGTTGTAGTATGCCGACCATAGGTCCATGTTGGGCGTCTTCACGGCATCCGTGACGTTGGTGTCCCAAGCCCGCGGCAGGAGCATCTGCTGGGCCTGGAAACTCAGGTGCGATAGTGACCGAAACTCAGACGGCATGTGCAAGAAGAACAGCACCCGGAGCGCAGCGTCTCTGTCTTGCGGCAACGGCTGTCGCACCGGCAGGAGAGTCTTCGCCTCCCTCACCTTGCCGTTGACGGTGGCAATCTCGGCTTCAGACCCCCAACAGGCGTGCTTCGCGCTCCTGCACACGCTGCATCGGCGGCATGTGCAACCACCCGGGCAATACAGATGCCTACGACAGCCGCGGGTCTTGTTGGATCGTCCGTCAGACAATGTGTCCCTCGAGTCTCTTGCCCGTTCGTATGCTGCTTGGTTCTCAGCTAGCTCGTCCTCATGCGATTGGAGTTCCATGCGGAGTTGGACGAGCTCCGCTCGCTGGGCTTCCACCTTGGCCCAGTGCGCATCGCGGCGGCGGTTCGCGGCCACCACCTCGCTTTCCCATATCCGTTGCAGGTCGGGACTTCCACTTGCCACCTTCAAAGCCAGACTAAACGTCGCCCTCCCTCCATCGGCTAAGGAAAATATGGCCTTCTCTATCCCGCGATTGGCAAAAGCCAGGTAGTCTGCCAAGCTCAAAGCAGCGTCGACCGCCAGCCTGTCGGCCAGCACCAAATGCTGAAGATCAGCCGCCCGTAGACAAACCCCGAACGCCTCCATTTCCTCCGGCCACAGCACGTCCCGAGCTACGGCGAAGGCAACAGCGTACGCTATCAGGCATACCAGGGTCTCTCGAGAATGGCGTTCGACCACCATGCAGGAACCACCGTCTCCCGAATGGGCGTCCAGAAAACCGGCAAGCACGGACCTGTACGTATTCACGAGGGCCTTGAGCTTCACAAGGTCACCAGCCCGTAGTGTCTGAGCGGCACTTTCGATAGCCCCCGAAGCCGAGGTTGTAAAGAGCAGGCCCTCCACTTCCGCCAGTACGACCTGCGCTGGTAGTTCCCCGCTCAAGCCATCACGCACAACCCAGCTGGTGATATCGGCAATGCTTTCCGAGGTCAGCGTAGTGTGGATTTCCCTGATGAAGCTCGGCAAGGACGAGAGATTCTTAGTGGAACGCGACCGTGCCTCACCTAAGCCTCCTTCACCAGCAGAGGGGCGCGGCAGCGGGGCGGAAAGCACCACTTTTGGAAGCCGCAGATGACCATCCGCGAAGGCATCTGTCCTGTTCGAAATCTTGAAGTCGGCAGCGGCCGACACCATGCGCTTCGACCTGAGACTGCTCAGGCTTTGGCGGGCTTCCTCGACCCTTTTTGCAACCCTCGGCAAGGCGTGGCCATCGTCGGCAAGAACTCCAGCTCGGTGCGCAGCCGACTCCAGCATTCGCATGCCTTTGTTGAGGTCCTCTGCGGCCCCTGATAGACGAACAACGTGCTGCTCGAACAAAGTCAGGTAGAAGTCGGCCATCACCACATCGAAGAGAACTTCCAGCAGATCGGGGCCACCTCGAGGATAGCCGGGAGCGTCGACGTTCCCGTGGCGCATCAGCCCAGCCTGAGTACAGAGATACGCGCAACAAAATACCCATGTGGTTAGATTCGCTCTGCAACTGCTGTTTATGCCGTGTATCTGCAATGAACAGCACAATCACTTATTGTTGATCGAAGAAGCACATGTTTGTTGATTTCAAATTTTTCATGCTCCTCACAGTCGTTCGAGTTCTGTGGACTTCCCGGGAAACATCTTGCAACGCCATTGAAGCAAAAAAGCTTGAAACTACGATATGGTTGCTGCAAAACGAGAGGGCGGCTCCAGAGGTTGCGCTTCCCACGCATTCTGGCAAGGACAGACATAGTAATTTAATCTTGTTCGGTGGACCAGCATGATGATCCATCGAAGGTACTACCGTAAGAAGGTGCAGATGATTTAAAGTGTGAATATCAGCAGCTCAACCGTTTCCTATTCGTATTGACGACATGAACGCCTGAATTGTAGAGTGGGTGCTTGTCCTCTTGTCAACGGTATCGGTATGAATCCACCCAGAAGAATCGCTGCTGCCAAAATTGAGCTGCATTGGCTGCCGGAAATAGATCTACATACAGCAAATCCAAATCAGCGTGGCCGCCTGCACGACGCATTCGAAATCATTGAACTGAACGTGCGCGGCGTCATCATAAATCATACACGCTCGGCGATCGCCTCTAGTTCCTGGATATTCTTTCTCATTTATACTTAAGCCTCGACGTGATGTGCTGCTTCACGCTAAGAGACACTTCAGTCACAACGAACACGTCATCTTCGTGAGAACAATAATTGTCGATATCGATTTCCCCATCGAACTCACTACTCTTGACCGTCTTCCAATCGCTTGCTCCAGTTCGTAGGGGTTTTTTCCTGGTCTCCGTGATCCTCGCGGATCGACAGCCACTAACTCTACCCAATCAGTGGTCCCCTAGATGAAGTATATTGCGATGTGGGCTAAATCGACCAATACCACGAACATGTCGGCGGTGGGAGTTGACCTGATTCGCTTCTGCTCTGTGAAATGCTTCGCGGTCGTAGTAAAATTCACTCGGCCTGTGACTCAAGCGCACGTTGCTGCGAACAAAAGCACTTGTACGGTGCCCGTAATGTCAAGGCCTTTTCGGCTCAGTGTAGATCGGACGTATATGTGGAGAAACGCGCAAGCCCTTGACGACGAGTACTCAAGATGTGTAGAACACGTAGGGCAACAGGCTTCTGGTCGCACACCTGAAAAACGGCGAGAGTCAGCGGCCACGCAGTTTCTCTTGGTCTGCCGCCCGTGTGAAGACCGACGTCGGTGAAGCCTCCTCGAGGTGGGTGACATGCGCTCGCTCCGTCGAGGGCCGCTTTCGCGTCTTGGAGTAGGGCTTCGATCATGGAAGGGGTCTTTTGGTGACCTTGCTTACCTCCCGCCGCAGTGCGCTTGTCGCCATGCCTCTCACTGGCCTGAGCTAGGCTCTTGTTGAGGTTTCTGAGCAGAGGGTCAAGGTTCGCCTCTTCAACGATTCCCGCGTGGACGATGGAAGGGCTTCCAACATCCGATCCGTACTGAAGGGTGCTTGCAGCGCTGGCACATGCAGGCAGATGGCATTGGAAACAAGCAGCAAAAGAGGTCGCCACGGGATAAACCTTTCAAAGTGGGCAACTACTTTTCGAAGTAGTGACGAACATTACCCTTTACCGGTAATGAAAAAGGTAAAGGGTAGTCGGGGTCGGTAAAGTCAATAGTTTGCGGTAAACCTCGCCCCCCACGCCCCCCCCCTCCAACTTGCGGGGCCCCCTCGGCCGTTGTCTTGCCAAGGGGTAGCTGCCGCAGCTCTCCACACAGACTCCTCCCGAGCTGTAGGTAGCAGACCACCTACACTCTGACACACGGACACGAAAGACCACCATGGCTTCTTGGGGCGCGTAATCGAGGGACCCGTGGTGGAGAAGCTGCTCATGGTCTCGTTGACGGATTATATGGCTCGTAGATAGATTTATTGGATTGTTCTCTTTTTCTATCCAGTAATTCGTCGGGGAGGAGATGATGAGGAGGCCACATGTATGGTAACGTGATAAACTTTGAAGAAAATTCAGCCTCCAACTTGAATTTTGATTTTTTCTTTCTTCTATTGGTAGATTGATAGTGCTGTCAAGATATGGAGCTTTAGACTATGGGTGAGCCGCTCAACAAGCAGCCCTCCCTGCATCCTGCTCTCCCGCCCACACACCAACTAACATGTCTATGGCACACAACGCCTACATATTTGCAAAGCAAAAGGCTGTGCTGTGGTCATCACGTCAACAACGAGTATTTTTCAGTACAAGTATACTGCTTGCTGTTCACTTACCACATTGTTCTCTATCGAATACACGAAGTTCTCTATCGAATGCACGAAGAAGTCGCCAGAACGCCAACAATGTGGGGTCACAGCGTCAAAGCGTCAAAGCATCAAAGCAACAGTGTTTGTGGGTGGTGCACCAGCGCTCCGAGCAGCACACCACCATGAACAAAACAACCTGGAAACCCCGGAGACAATCGATTTTCATCCCCGCTTTTGGCGGAAATTACCGGTCGGTAAAGCCGATTGCTGGTTTCGGTGTGTTACCGGGTCTGACCCGGATAATGTACATCATTGCTTCGCTTCGAAGTGTAGAAGTCGGTCTGCGATGGTGCGCGGTAGGTACACAAGTAGCTGCAAAGTTTGGCCACACATTCCGGCACCAAAACTCATAATACTCCATGGAACGCCATGGAAGTTCCACGACATGCAATGGAGTCCCACGGTGCGGAAACATTGCGTGCAAAAAACGTTTACGATGGAGAGTTCCACGGTTATTGCTCCGGGATTCCCCTGCAGTATCGCTGTCGGGAAGTGGTAACTCAGCAATAGCGTTCGCGTAGCAGGAATGCGTACATTGCATCTACAATGTGCGGCCACACGTAGTTAGGGTATCCGTAGATTTTCACGAAAAAATCGGAAATTCGACGTTTTCCACAGACTATTTCCATTGAAACTGAACAAATGCGGCGTGATCCACGGGAAACCACGGGGTATTCCATCGCGTCTCACGGGAAATTGCACCGTCCTTTCCAAGGATGTTCACAGGGAATTTGCCACGCGTTTCCAGGGCGACGCTACTGGTTCATTTCGTGCGTTCGATATTCCTGTGGACTTCCCGGGGCGTCCAGGGCACCCCACATCAAGAGGTTGGATGTCTTGCGGAGAACCCACTCCGTGGAACTCCATGCACCATCATTTGACTTCTCGGAATGACTCGCACAAGCCCGTTGCGTATTTGAATATGATAAGTAGCTCGGGTTGCAACATGGTCACTCCGCGGGTAAACCTGTGGTGACTGCTGGAGCCGATGTGGCCAAGATTTTCGAATTTCCTCAGTGAAGAATTGGTGTGCTTCAAAACATAAATATAATAACAGTGTGGAGGGCCACATGCTCCATGCACCGTGTGTCGCCACCGCAGGTGAACAAAGTTCTCGAAGTGACTGCGGGGGGAAGCGAGAATGAAGATGGACATCCCCAAGTCACTGTTCCATTCGGATCTCCGCACGTGGCGTATCGAGATTCACTCCCTAGCCGTTATACAAGTTGGCGGAACGACATAAGAAAACGCCTACAGCGTTCGACGAGTGACCATTGGCAACATAACCTTGTATCCCCATGTTTCCCCCCTCAAATGTGATGGTGTTGTGATCTATTTCACGGACGCTATTGCGGTCCCACCACAATGTATCTGATTGCACACAATAATATCGAGCCGACTGTCGCAGGTCATCAATGACACGCTATATTCTATTGAGTGAAAACGTGGCTTTTTCACCCGGGTGGTGGTGGACTTAGAGATGAGGTTGAGTTCACCTCAAAAGCTATGCTCACGTACCGCATGCAATTTCGCATAATTGAACAGGCCTTTAAACGAGGTAATGCAAAGTGCCGTGGAATGTTTCGGTTCGCTTGGCGACGATTGTAGGCCTGCAGCCACTCCCCACGCCTCTCCCAGGTGTCCAAAACGAGATCCGATGAGTAGAAATATCTATATTTGCATGCCGATATAGCCGCTGGAGGGTCCCACAACATTTTTTGGGGAATTTCCTTCGTGGCGTTTATGAAGATGATTCGGGTTCCCGTAACAGTCAATGAATATATAATAGGGAATTCCTATTAATATATTGAATGTTGCGATCTTCTACAGTAGACACTTGCCCTGGTGCTTCTGAGACACTTGGATGTTGGCCCCGTTCGAGGCTGCAATGCCGATAGGCGCTTCGGTGAGAAGTCAAATGAAAGATGACTCGGACGATGTGTTGCTGCCTTCATTCGAGACATTCAATATGTGAATGTAGGAGGAAGACTTTCAGCGGCTCGGCGAAGCCCTATCTCTTTAAGATAATTACAGCTTCTCACCGATGGTGGAACCGGTGAGTACGGCGGAATGAATATATTTTCAACACACTTGAACAGTAGAATGAAGATCATATTCACATTAAATTATTGTGTCGAACACATGGGAACGGACGCTAATGCCCTTACTCTAGCGTTCATGGATAAGGCCCTGTTTGAATCGATTAAATTTCGTGTTTCGTGTGCGGGCGAAATGTATCCATTGGTTGATGTGGATCACAAGAGGACACCACCGACTATCATACAAGTGAGACACAAACAAGTGAATTGTCCGTCGAGGAGAAACAGACGATATGGGTGAACGCAGTAGTACCAGCAGTGAAAGCCAGAAGTGCAGGCACAAGAGTTTTCACCAACGATCGGAACAGTGTCCGCGCCACTTTTGCCTGTTGTTTGCTGAGAAGTAGGAAAAAAATCTGCAAATTGTCACGGTAGCATGAACGGGCGCTAAATACTGAGAATCATTCCATTTCACGATGGTTTGAGGAGGGCTAGGGTATACCCCCGGGTGTACCTGAATCATTGGCGGAGCCCCTCTAGAGCTCCGCCTCAACACGTGTTTTGGGTAATCGCTCACTGTTAACACGGCCAATCTCGGAAGAGGAACTTTGACCCACCCGCTAAGAAGCAACCAGTGTGTGAGTCAAAGCATGAGAGGTAGATCTGGATAGATCTTGCCTAGACCCCCCTTGCTAATCCCACTTGATTAGACCTACAGGGCTAGACCCACCGGGATTGTATCCCTTTTGCTAGCCCCCAACTTGAATCCAACGGTAAGATACCATGAAACTGACCATGAAATGGATGAAACTAATTGAACCCTAGCCAGTGCTTGTTACGCTAACACATGAGTGAGCTACCCTAAGCGATAGCGTTATAACCACTGTGACAAAATCAATTGAACAGACCACCGTTCCACCCACCCGTTACCATCACCATACCTGGGAGGGTTCAACCAGCGCAAAGCGAGCTTCCAGTTGTCGAGGCCGACAAGCGACAGGTTCCGGCGCACGAGAGGCCCGCCCAGGGCGCACGGGCTACCAATGGCGAGCAGTGCACAACCATACTCGGGGAACCACTTCACACTTTTGCCGTCGTTCAGAAACGCAGAGGTCTTGGTCAGTGCTGAATGCCAGTCGACCACCTCGAGGAGGTCATCGCACCCTGGGAGTTCCTGTGGACGTCAAGCCGAAACGGAAGACATGTGAAAAGATCGACTTGCGTTCGAAATATCAACCGTTAATGAAGTGAAAATGGAATAACCCTCCCCTTTTTCGAGTGTTGTTGATTGCTGTTACGGGAAAAAAGTCCGCAATTGTACGCGGAACCCGACTGGCTGGCGGCGAGTCGATTCTTTCCTTCACGGTCTTCTGTGCATGCTTACAGCAATACTGGTTGGTTACGTCCGATAGGTCGCTCGAACCTCCACAACATGTGATTCTATGCATACGGCTGTAATAGTTTGCTCCTCCACCTTGCTAGTTGAACTGTTGCTTATGGCGGATGGCGGGATTTGGAGCCGGTGTTCTCTTCCGCTCAAATCAGACACATCTTCCTTGATACCGAACTAAAGAGGGAGAACCATCGTTTTCGACAGGTGTTGGGGAGATTGCATCCATCACGCCGGGTTTCACAGACAGTACGACATCTTTGAACCGAATCATTTGAACCGAAAACGACCAGGACGCACGAAGTTCGTTCTTTTCTCATAACGATGGTTTTCGATGCAGACCACGGCAAATAAATGCGCCCAGCAGCACGTAGCCGTTGTTGAGATATGCCCCAGTTTGAGGAATGGTTCGTCGTGGAGCTTTCTATGTTTTTCTTTTACAACCAAACGGCAACAACCCGTACTGATCATTCATTGAGGTTGATCACCTTCATGTTGGAGCAATGGTTCGACAATAGCCGGACGAAACCTGCCACAGCCCCAATACTCTGCTGCTCGGGAAATGGTTCCCCCTTGAACTGAAAAATGCTGGAGAGCTGCGCCTCGGTCACCTCCGAGGCCATAGCGTCAAACACCTCCAGGCTTTCGAGAGTCGGACGGACGCAGGCAGCCATGCAGCAAAACGAAATGAGCCGCTTCCGAAGTGGAAAAAAAATCATTTAGACAGGCAGAGACCGTCTTTGATATGGTTTATATGTGCATGGACATCCAATCAACAACGAACAGTTTCCAAATGTACAGTATGTAGTACTGGAGGTTTTCGAAACGAGGGAAAGTGAACCAAACAAGGGCAGCCCACACAGAGTTGGGGAACAGGTTCTATTATTTCATTCTGCGTCCTCACCGTCAAGCTCAGCATAGACTAGTAGGAACAGTTTAGAATTCCATCCACCTTGAGCGCTGCTGCTCAACCCCAACTTGATTTCTTCGTGCAGCTTCAATTTCCCGTATCTTCATTGAGGGTCCTATTTTGGCGGGCCGGTAACTATGTATATACTCATACCAGTCATTGTCACACGCGCGACTAGCAATTCAGCTTTTATGTAGCTGGTAACGATGAGAACTCCGCAGCACGACTAACATCGGGCATACGAAAGACCGAGCGAGCTGCGAAGGAACCATCAGTCAAGTCCCTCGGTGTTCGTCGATTCCCCACTCTTCGATGCAAAAGTTCTGGAAATGTTCATTCGACACCGGCTCTATTTCGGCGCTTTGGTTTTCTAATTCCCTTCTCGTCTTTGTTTATTGCCCTCTTGTCCCTCGCGGGTACCGGCCATCGAGCAAGGTGAAGCTGCAAACGTAAGAAATACGCGCACCATCCGATCGGGCTGTACGAAAGACCGAGCGTGCTGCGAAATAATCAGCGGTCATCCAACTCGTTGATGCTTGAATCAGCACTGTTCGCTCGAAAAGTTCTGTAAGTTCTGTAAGGTTCCTGCGACACTGGCTCTATTTCGACGCTTCACGTTTTTTTTCGTCCTTTCTTATCCCTCTCGGGTAGCTGCCATGGATCGACACCACGGCTTCTGAATACGAATAGTCGACATCGACGACGACAAAGGGTGTTGGTAGAATGGCCGTGTTGACGCTTGTACAAACAACAGTATTTTGTCCATCCATGAGAACCATATCATATGCCAATACTCGCAAACTGTTCTAACTTTCCATCCGAATACTACAGTCACTTGGCTAATGAGGCGTCCATTGTGGGGTTGTCTGACGCACAGTACACCTTTTCTCACGCGCCCTATCGCCAAAGTCCATCATCTTCTGTTGGGTTTCGGGGCCTTTCCCGATTGGCTGCAGGACTGCAAGCAGTAACTATCATACGTTTTCTCCTGCAGTGAGTCCTGTTGCCGTTGACGACACTATGTAACCTCTTCATTCCGACATCTTTCAATATTTCACTGATGCTTGGAGGGATTTCGACCATTCTCGGAGACAACGCCACACAACAAGCGGGGACGACGTACGCACCTACTTGCGCAGCCCAGTTGGTGTTGACAGGAAAGTATCGTGTCTCACCCCGAGAAGACGGGAGAAGTCGCGAAAGGTTGGGGCAACCACACACGGCGAAAGTGCGAAAAGGCGCGTCGCATCCGACAAGTGGAAGGGGGAGAGCCAGTCACCCATTTTGGAAACCCTGATTTACTGTAGAACCCGGCTTCTCACGTACGTACGTTCTCTCGAACCGATCGCCTGCGTCCCCAACACCCCAAACTGCAGGAGCATGTTGTTTTGGATTTTCGCTCAACCTGGTTTAGGAGCTCTTCCGTTCGGTTGAGAGGTTAAAGGAGAGGAACTGCTGTGAGCACAGAGTATCGAAACCGCAGTGGACGAGGTAGTCTGCAACAGTAAAATCGTCGGCCGGAAATCGGTGCTGCATCGTTCGTTAAGGACACAAATATAGTCTAGCTGAGGAACGAGCCTATTTGGTCCACACGGCATCATCCAGAAGCGAAAAGAGTACATGGGGTTCGCGATGTCCCCTTGAACGGGGAGCTTGGTGTACAGTAGTTATCACATGACGGTCAGGAGGTTCATCGCACCCCTCCCTAATTGACTGCACTCGAACGGAGTCCATAGCAGTGCCCCTTCCGAGCTCAGCCGCACCAGATGCCACAAACGTTGGCCTTCGACGCCGTGCCTCAAACGCCCCCGAACTAAGCCATGCTCTATGTCAACTGCCGATCCAGGAGTCACTAACCCGTGGTTAGCAGGACTGAACTACATTACGTCCGATGGGAGCCGGTCGACCTGCCGGCGACCTCAAATCCTTTGGGGACGTGTGGACATGAGATCGATTCTCGGTGCAGTCACACCAACTGGGAGTTGTCGCACGCCATGCGCCAAACGACTGGGGATCCGAGAGGACAAGCAAAGAAGAACTCGTGGTTGACACTCTGTCGTTCGACTTCATGGTCGTCCAGCAGGAAAAGAAATATCAGCACGTAGTTAAATAGTTGAATTCTGCTCGCGACAAACATCAGTCAAATCATACGAGAAAGAAGACGGAGGAAAAAACAATAAAATCACACCACTGTGTGGAAATGCATCCTCCCGTGAAGCCCTGGTAAGTGCGCCCGTACAAGAACGCACAGAAATGGCGGCCGGTGGGCTGACAAAATACTCACTGCGCCCCTTGCTATGACCTTCCTTGCATGGGCAACCTGTGTTATGTTCACGACCCCCAAGACAAAAGCGGCTACGGCAGAAACAGAGAGATAAGGCCAGTTCAACATGGCGCGTGTCAACCCTCCCCACAAAAAGCAACACACACACACACACACACACATGCACACCTTCACATCGACAAACGTGCAACAGAATGAAGTATCAACCTGCCCAAACCGGCAATAGATAGCACGGCAGGATTCGGATCTGGCGTGATGAGAAAACGCTGCTAGTCGCAGCCAAAAGGGGTGCATGTTCTACAAAGATACATCCACAAAACGTGCTTCCAGCGCAACGCCTTACCCCACGTCATTCTAACATCACCGGGCAAATTAGCTCCGACGAGGGAGAACATCAGTTGTGAGCTAACTGCAACTTTTCCGCAGGATGCAGGTCTTATGATGAGGTGCACGGTACAGCAAGTGGGCAGGTGCCGTGCTACTCCTACAGCAACAACTACAACTAATGAGGTGACGCCAACACCACCGTACGGGAGACGGCAAACGTCTCCCTCCGACAACGATAGAGCGAGTCAGTCGCCACCGCCTTCCTACTACAGAAGGCTATTCTACCGCTACGCGTGTATGTACCACTACCAAGACCTTCTTGCAACCAAAACCCCTGAGCAAGGAGCCAAAAAAGCGAACAAGAGTTGTCTCTCTATCACGCCGAGCGGCGGAGCCGAACCCGATCAAGTCTTGGCCCCCGCGTCCTGGCTAAAAATGCTAGCGTTGAAACCCATCATACGCTTTGCGCGCAAAGATGCACAAAATCACAAAACATACGACTGAAGCGTACCCCACGCCTGTATACCCAAAGCACGCAGCCGACCGCCCCTGCCAAAGATCAAAGATATCGCGCGACCGTAAGAGAGCTCCTAACCGTCGAGATCTCCCACCGCGGATCTTGGAGAGATCTACTGTACAGGCCGCAAGCACCAAGACGCTCACGCCGTCAACTCGCCAAAACAAAACAGCAGCCGGGCTTCCATCAAGTATCAACGACAGCCTCAAAGACGAGAAGGGAGTCTCGCCCTGGCACGATAACGCCAGTTGGTAAACCGCAGCAACAGCAAGTAGGGCAGCAACGTTGCTCGCCATCAATCTTTCCCTCCAGGCGGCTCAAACAGCGAGTGCGCCGATTTGTCCTCTCCTCCAGCCCCGTCGTCGGGAACCACCCCCCAGCCAAGAACATGCTCAACTCCGTGCAAGTCCCTCCTATTCAACACCCACACCACTCCCCGTAAAACCATGCTCAACTCTGTGCAGGTCCTTCCTATTCAACACCCACACCGCTCCCCGTATCAGGCGAGAGATCAAAACAGCCCGAGCGCGGAAGCGCCGAGGGCCCCGACCGCCAACGCCCCTCCCCACGCGGCAGCCGCGACAACAACGCCGCCGCCGGCGACGGCGCCGCCCTTCTTCGCCATGATCGAAGCCGCTCCCGCGGCCTCGGCACCCGCCTCGGTGTCGTCCCCGTCCGTCGTGTCTTCGTCGTCCCCGTCCGTAACGCCTTCCTCGGAGAACGACGGCGCCGGGGTCTCGTCCAAGTCGTCGGTGGCGCCCGTGGCGGCCGGAGAGGGGGCGGGGGTGCCGTCGGTGGTGGCATCGGGGGTGACGCCGGGTGTGGCGGCCGCTGAAGGGGGAGGGGTCTGCAAGGCAGGCGGGGGGGGGGGTCTGAATGAACTCCGAGAGAGAGAGAGAGACGTCTAGCACTGATCATGCACAGTAGTTGGTGGGGGGGGGGGGGGCAAAAACCCAGGGCGGGAGCCTGGGGGAAAAAAAAAAAAAAAAGAAAAAAAAAGGGGGAAAAGGGGGTTCAAAAAGCCCCCCTCCGGGGCCCCGGGGGGAAAAGCCTCTTTTACAAATTTTTCTATTTTGGGTTTTTTTTTTTTTCCAACCCCGGGGTTTACCCCAAAGGGGGGGGAAATTTCCCTATTTTGGGGGGGAAAAAACTTTATTGGAAACCCCCCCCAAACCAACGGGGGGAAAAT